AAGTTATATGATTTTTTTCCCAAAGATCACATAGCCAGTAAAAGGCAAAGCCAGGACCAAAACTCAATAATCTTTTCACTATGCTGGCTTTTATGTCATTTTCATTGATGACTTTGGACTGGCATCATTATTCTGAAGAAAGTCTTCTCATTTATTATAAATTTCTATAATAGCCAACATTTATTTAATAATTAGTATGCATTTCATATTATATAGCATATATATACACTATGTACTTCTACTGTATGCTTAACAACTCATGAAATTGGCACTCTTATTACCCACTTTTTACAATAAGAAAACTGAAACCTGTAAGTGATGAAGTTAAGATTTGAAAGGAGGCAGTTTGCCTCTAGGCCTGTGCTCTTAAATACTTAGCTATACTGCTTATTAGCAAATTTTACTGCACGCTTCTACTACCTTTCAAACTTCCATTGCTCCTTGAGCAGTGAATTTCAACGTGTCATATGTTTCTTAAAAAAAAAATCAAAAACCAAAACTTTGCCCCATCAAAATTTGATGTTTTGATAGAAGTCATTTCTTAAGAGATCTGTCCTCTCACAGGCTACATAATTTGCAGAGCCCAATGCTCTACACTGGGAAATATGTGACTCCTTGTTAGGAATTCTCAAGAATTGTATTAATAATTAAGAATGTGACAGTAAAGCATTAAATCAAGCGTGTGATGTTTTTCAGCGTGAGTCTCTGTGAGCCGACTCAGGTAGCAAGTCCATGACGTGGACCGTGGTCACAGGGCCTGTAACCCTGAATCTGGCCTTGCCGCTGCGCAGCTGTCCTTCTGTAGACCTGTATGAAGCTTCATGGTATGAGTAGGACAGAAGTGCTGGAGACCTTTAATTAGGTCTGTTCCAGAAGGAGAGCATTCTGTGGCAATGAGACCCTTGCTGAAGCAGAACTTGAAGGGAAGCAAGACTGCCAGGCTTCAGTCTAAATTGCCCATACTGTAAAAATTGAGAAGTATAGACCACTGTTTATCTTAGCGGTCCAGAGTGAGTTGGTAGTCAGGAAGTGGGGAGGAGAAGGAAGAGGAAGCTCTGGGGAACTCCCACCATTTCACAAAGAGAGAATCACCTTTGTCTTCCAACAGAATGGTGGCAGAAACTTGTGAAATATTCCCATGTGCCTTTGTTGCTTGAAGGTGGGGGACCATGATAATTTATGTCTAAAATTAACAAGTCTGGCACTGGTTATTCAAATGCTTTTTGCCCTTTTAAAATTATAGACAAAAATAATGTTTTAAACTTTCTTCCTTCTAAAATAGAAAAGAACTGCATTTCTGAAAAATACCTGTTATTAATTCTTAAGCTTTTTTGTGTACATCATGGGTATTGTCATTCAAGCAGTCAAAAATCAGAGTCAGTGCTTTTAGAATCAATATACACAGGTTTAAACTCTATTCTTTCTCCTTACTGATTCTGTGACCTTGAGAAAGTTAATTAAACTCTCTAAGCCTCATATTTTTAATCTACAAAAAGAAAAATTTTAAAATAATAACAACCTCAGAGGATTATTATAAGCATTCGATGAGTAAAGGTACTTAATGCAATACCTACCTGGCATATCATAAGAACTTGACAAATTACAGAGACATTATTTCATGTAAATACAAATATATTTTAAACATACATATTTATATATATAAATGTATTTATATTTTATACATGCATATATTTTTAAGTATATAATATACGTACATACATATGTGTATATGTAAGTGTATGTGTATGGGTACATATTCTGAAGTTCCTGAGTTGTAGGCTCTTAGATATTGAAAAAGGGGACATGCACGGCTAGAAGGATGACTGTAACAGAGCTTTTGGGGCTTCTGCCTGTCATTGCTAACTCAACAGTCAACTTACATAGCATTCAAATTGAATTACTACTGCCTGCACAATTAGGGTCTTTCTTAGCATAATCCCTATGCTTCACATCAAACAGACTGTTTACTTGAATATAATCCTCAGAAAAAGCTGGTGTGCTTCCTGTCTGAAATGGTGATAGCTTCCAGGTGCAATTCAGAACATTGACTGGGATATACAAATTGTCATCTGTCTTAGACAGCACCTCTCTCTCTAATCCTTAGCCGCCTGATGTATTTTTTATGTGTCTCTTAATTTTCATCACAGAAAATAAAATGAAAAAAACCTGAAGCTCTAGTATCATTTTGCTAGTACACTGACAGAACATATATCCAGATTTCCCTCCAAAATATCAGTTTTATAGTTCCCTCAGAATTGTTTAAAACAGCAATTTGCTTATTAAATGCCTGATAGAGAATGCACCAAAAATTGTGAATTTGAAAAAATGAAGAAAAGGCAGAGACAACTGTATACCCAACATAAACAGTATTTGCTATTGTTTGTTGTCTAAGTATGTAAATAAATATAAAAATAAGGAATGCTTCTTTGTTGTTTTAGTAGTGGATAAAATAATTTCAACAGTAGTCTTTTCAAAATCTATTTGTTAAATGTGTTTTTTGTGAAATGAGTCATTTGTTTTGTGTCTCTGCCTCACAGAAATTCCCCTGCATGAAATCTCTGACTTAGTGGTTTGACTGAATAAATTATTCCTGGACTTTTGAATTATTAATCTTGGCTGCATGATATGCAAATCAGACTGTGCTAACCACGTCCTGTGCAATAGCACTAGGTCATAAGCTGTATCCAGTTGCTGGCAGTGTTTCTGTCAAGAGATCGGATCTTCCAACACAATGGTAAGCTGCACTACAACTTATGTCTCTTAGGTATATAAAGTAATGCTAGCCTTCTGTTGGGAGCTTCTTTTAAAAGTCGCCTGTGAGCAATTAAGGTTTTAAGTAATGTTTAAATGAATTATCTATAAGTAGATGTAGCAAAAGAAACTAAAAGGAAGTCATTATTTTTACTTCTGCATTTTTTTACCAAGTTAAATGTATCGTTTTAATTGCCAACTACTATATTCATTTTACTTAAAGAGGTTTCTTGTATTTTCTAAAGTCTCAGTAACTTATATTTTAACAAAAATAGTAATTGGATTTACTTAAATCAATATAAATACTTATGGAAAATAAAGTTCCTAAATCATTTGAAACAATATCATACATAATATTAATATTTTCATATTTAGAAAATAATGTATTAGAGGAAATTTTAAGCTATCTAAAAATTAAATTTAGCATTTATGTGTGTAAAAATGACATTATTAAAGAATATAATTCACTTAGGGAAAAATGGAAAATTGCAGAAACCATTGCTATTTTAACTTCTAGAGCTTACCATAATTTGTGATGTATTCTTAAAGAAATTAACAAACACACAATTTGATATCATATTATTACTTTTTAATATCTTAGTTTCTGGTGTAATTTATGGAATATATAAAAATAAAGTCATCAATATTTTATCTTTTCTGTATGAATATACATTTTTATTTAAATTGTTCAGTAATGAAAAAAGTAATTTGTTAAAAAAATCCTCATATTGCTATGTAAATTTGCCTTAAAGTTGCAGTTAAAAATAAAAATAACAACTTCACAAGTGTCTTTTAATTGTTATGATTATAAGAAAAAACAATTTAAAAGCTAAGAAACTATCAAATATGTATTTTTAAACTTTGAAGTTTCATAAATGTACATTTTTAAAAATCTGAATATATTTAAAGTTAAAGAAACATTATTTTCAAATTAAAAATGAGTACTAATAATCTGTTTATGTAAGTAAATTAGATATTGCTTCTAGTTTATTAATTCTAACAAGTTTATATATATTTTTGGATTGGGAATTAATGATTTCACTTTAATGGCCAGTATCTTTTTAAAAAGCCCACCTGTTAAAAATAATCCATCTAAGTCAGTTATAATCTATTTATCACTACTTCCACTTCCTAAAAATTAAGAACATAACCACTAGAAAGCAGAAGAAAGAATATTAATTTTTCATAAGGGAATTTTTATCTTCAATTGGGAGTTTTGCTTAAAGGAAGAGCTTACTTTATCCATTTGTAGAATTGTGATGGCGATACAAAAAGGACTCTCAACTACAAATATCATCCAACTTGGGAAATAATAAATGCTCAAAATTATAGGTCTTGCTGAACTTAAATTGGCCTACAAATATTGAACAACTTATCTTTATAAAACCGGAATTTATTAATATTATAGACTTAGAAAAAATTTAAGAATGAAACAAATGTATCAATGAAGCAGATTATAAAACATCATAAAAAGTATAATCTCATTTCTATAAATATAAATTTAAATAAATATTCAAGTAAAGAAGGGTACCCAAATATTAGGAGTGATGGGTTTACAATTTTTATTTTTTATTATTGCCTATTTGCATTTTCTGAATGTTACACAATTTACATGAATTTTGTACATGTATTTAAAAAAATTAAAAAAAGAAGAATGAAGCAACCACTCTGTGAGAAGCAGGACAAAAGGGACTATTTAGTCATTCATTTTTCTTATTCCAGCCCTAGTATTCTCTGTCCCTACTACTCCCTCAATCCTCATCCCTCTGTAAAACAGAAGAATTCTTCATGATTTTCATGTGGCCTCTAACTTGCTTGAGTGGAAGTCATAGGAAATCTGGCTTCTAGTTGTACAAGTCTTCATAGCTATATTTTCTTTCCATGGCAGTCACATCTTTCTGCTGCACATACACTACATAAGCTACTGGCATAAGTCAGTACCTACTAGGCAGAAAGATAAATGTTATGACCAGAAAGAAAGGTAATTCAAAAATGAAACAAATTTCTTGTCTCAAAGAAACTTTCTATATCTTAATTTTCATTTGAGTTTGTGTACCAGCTTTTTGAGTACCCCCCAAAATAACAAAATAGTTCAGAACTGAGCCCTGAGGAGCTTCAATATTTAAAACTTGGGCAAAGAAAAATTAGGCCACAATGATTCTGCAGATTGAGAAAAGGAGAAACAAGGACATTGCTGTGTTGTAGAAGATAGGAAGAGGCTGCTTCCAAAAACCATGGACTTGAAAGCTACTGAGAATACAGTTAGAAATAATAATGAAAATAGATCATTGATCTAAAAAATAGTCTGTTGATTTTTTTAAAAGTCCATTGAACTGTCTGCTTTAACTCTATAAATTTAAAAACTTTAATATCATCAAACACATGCCGATTTGAGGGAAAAAGAAAATTCATGTAAAACAAAAGGAGAAAGGACACAATAAAAACTATCTGAAATCCCATCACTAGGGATAAAACCATTAACACTTTGGTACATATCTTTCTAGACTTCTTATGCTTAATAATTTGGGGTGTAATTTCTTAATTAAATGCCTTAATTTTAAAATTGATTCTAGAATATAGATATTAAATTTTGCTATATACAAATGTGTTTCTATACCACAACAACCACTAGTACAATTGTAAGTTTTGAGTACCTATCATATATATGATGTCAGCTTTTAAAGTGAACTAGAGCAGTGGGCTTGGAAAAATTATTTATAAAAATGCTTTGTAAATAGTCAAGTGTTTATGTTCATCTCTATTCAACAAGCATTTACAGACCACCTACTATCTGTTAGTCATTGTGCCAGATATAGAAGATAAACAATAAATAAGACAATGTTGTATGAAATGCTAAGAAGTTCAGTATACAATGAGAGCATAAATGCGAGGACCTAGTTTAGACTGGGTCGGAGAGCCTATCTTGTGAAACCTGCACTTGGACTGAGGCCTGAAATAAGTATAGATATAAGACAACATATGTGGTGGCCAGTGTCACAGGAGAAAAACGGCAGTGGAAAGAGATTCAGACAAAGGGGAGTGCACATTAGGAAGACCTTCTGTGCATTCGTGGAACAGGAAGACAGAAAGATGAGCAAGGAGGAGAGTAATGCAAAGCCAGGTTGAAGTGGAGTATGGAGGCCATATCATTCAGGCCTTGATACTCCCATTAAGGATTTTAGACTTTATTCCTTGGACGGTGGAAAGATATTTAAATGTTTTGATAAAGGATGAAATGATAAGATTTTGAGTTGTTTTTCAAGACTGTGTGGCTGTAGTGGCAAAGATGGATTGAATGAGGGCCAGAGAGGATGTGAGGAGATAATATGATATAGTCCAAGACAGAGATGAGAATGGCCTGTACTAGAATAGGAATGAGGACTATAAGGCAGTAGCGATGGATTTGAGAAACATCCAGAAATTATACTCAACAAGACTTGGTACTTTATTCATTATTGGATTTAAGTTTTAGATGACTTCGAGGATATCGTTTATATTTCTGAGGTGAGCACCTGGGTAGATGGCAGAATCATTTACTGAGACAGGTGTATGTTCTGCAGGATTGGTAAGGAAGTTGGAGAGTTTAAAACGGGATTTCTGAAGGCAGAGATGCCTGTGAGAAAGCAATCGATGGCAATAAGTATAGACAAGTAGAGCTTTTAAGACAGGTCCAGGCTGGTCTGGAAATCTGGAAGACAGATGAGCTCACATAGGCAGGATCTAGAGAAAAGAGCCCAGAAGTAAGACTTGAGGAACTCAACATTTAACGTTTGAGCCAAGAAGGTTTAGGGCCCAAAAGAGCCTGCAAAGAATAGCCAGGGAGAAAGAAGGGAAAATAGGGTATTGTCATGTCACAGAAAGCAAAGGAAAAGTGTTTCCAGAAATCATGGTATGAAAAACAACCCAGAAGTCGATAAGAAGACTAGCAAAAAACAATCATTGGATTGAGCAATGTGGAGGTCATTTTGGTGGAGTGGTGGGTCTGAAGCCAAATTGGAGGAGATTGAAAAGGGAATGGGGTGTCAAGAAATCAAAACACTTAGTGAGACAGCTCTTTTCCGAAATCAAGCTACAAGGAGGAAAGGAACATGTGAAACCAGATTGTTGTTTATGTCTGTTCCTTATTTTTAAGACTGACAAAATGAGAGTGTTTAATTGGCTGATAAAGATGATGTAGTTGATTGGGAGAAGAACGCTGAAGAGACAGAATAGAGGAGAAAATGGTAGCATAGGAATATTGAAGATTTGGGAACAAGTTGGATCTGGATTAAGACCACGAATGATCTTTAGCTCAGTGAACTAAGGGGCAAAACCATTTGCTACTAATAAGTAGTGCAGAGTAAGTGGAAAAGGTTTGAAGAGATTGGAAAAAAGTATGAAAGGAGAAATGTAGTAAATTGCTGGCAATGTGAGAGAGCAGTAGAATCAGGTAACCTCAAAGATGGAGTGAAACCAGTCTGCTTGGCTTCAGCAGCATTCATGTGTCTGCTGCCTGAGGAAGTTCCCATCCAGCTTCATCTGGAGTTGGACTTAGTGGCTGGTTGCCACGGAAAGACTTCAGAGGCTCAGAGGAATTTAGGATGCTTTAAAGTAAGTGACTAAAAATAACTTATCAAAATATCGAACTTACCATATCTATAATTCCATGAGTTATATCATAGATAACACACTCTCAAAATACCAGTGATATTAACTGAAATAAACCACTTGAATTTGAGAAAAGTACATGAGTTTTCCAGATGCCTTCATTATAGCTAATTCTACTGAATTTTGCATGCTTCCAAGAAAAAGCAGTTAAGGTATATTTATTCTTATTTTGCTCTATTTACCAAAATACTGTGTGGAAAGAATCATTTGATTGCAACTAACACCCATAAACCTATTTGACAAAGACATTTTTAGAAAATTTTATTTTCAATTTTGGTTTTCCTTTTCTATAAATAAATAAAATTCAATATTTAACAAGGACAATCCAATATATTTTTCAGATAATTCATGCTCTTAAAATACTCTATCCAATCATAGTCTGGCTTCACTACAAGAGAGGAAATGGCAAATTAGCAAGACACTTGAGGTTTGAATGAATAAAATTGCCTATTTTCATGGCCCAGTTTTAGAAGGTATTATAATAAAGGTCTTTTGCTACATGTATGACCTCAGCAAGTCTGAATATTGGCGTTCCCTCAAAATTTATATATCAGAACCTAATAGTATTATGAGGTGGGGATCTTTTGGGAAGGGATTAGTAACCTTATAAAAATGGTTAAAGGGAGCTGCCTTATCCCTTCTGCCATTGCTGTGAGAACGTGGCAAGAGGTGCCACCTTTGATGCAGAGGGTGACCCCTCACCAGACACCCAATCTGCTGGTGCCTTGATCTTGGACTTCCCACCTAAACAATGTGAGAAATAAATTTCTATTCTTTACAAATTACCTCATCTAGGGCATTTAGATATAGCAGCAGGGACAAACTAAGACAGCAAGCTATTTAAGTTCCCAAGCCTCAGTGATATCATGTGTCGGTGAAAATAATAACAATCCCCACGTCATTATGCACTATGATTATTAAATGAGATAATCCTTATAAAGCGGTGAGCATAGTGACTGGTACACAATAAAGTTTCGATTAATAGTGACCACTGTTATTAGTACTAAGATTTTCAATTTCATATTTTAAATTTTTTAAAATTATGTTTTAAAACTGGAGTTATATTTTGCAAATTTACTAGGATAAGCAAAATTTTTTGACAATATGGAAATAAGTAAAAGCTGATAAAATAGCAAGATTTGAATTCTAAAAATCCCTATTTGCTCTTCTAGGTTATGGTTCAATTCAATTTAACTCAGCAGAATTTATTGAACAGCTACGATATACTAAGGACCATGGTAGGTTCTTGAGACCAACAGCGAATTCAAATCGCCTTTTCACTCAGTTTACCACGCTTTCCCTTGGCCTCTTGGCTGTTTGTCAGGCCCTTTACATGTGTGTCCACCTTGGAGCCTTTTCATGTGCTCTTCCTTATGTCTGGAACATTCTTCCTCTAGATACAGATGACTCTTTGGCTTTCTTCATTGAGGTTTCTGTTAAAATGTCATCTCATAGAAAAACATCTCCCTTATCACAGACACAAAAGAAGTCACTCACTGCCACCCTCCATCCCAAAGCTCTCTAACATTTTTACTCTTCCTCATCTTTATTCATAGCATGTATCATTACATGGCATCATTTGTTTATTTCCTGATTCTTCCCAAGAAAGTATAGGTTGTCAGAGATTAGGAACTTTGTTTTACTCACTGCTGTTATCCCCAGTGCCTGAAACTTATTCAGCACATAGGTGAAAGATACTCAGTAAATAGTTGCTAAAATAATATATTAATGACACATATGTGTATGTGTATGTATATGTATGTATATAAATATGTGTGCATATATGTATGCATGCATTCCTTACTACTGTAACCTACTCTCCGTAACTCACCTTTCAAGTGTTTTTTTTAAAAATTATGTTCTGCACAGTTTTGCCCTTGTCTAGTGTTTCATCATTGTATTTCCTCTCTTTTCTCTAGGCATGGAATGCAACTTGCGAAAACTGGCTGGCAGCAGAGGCTGCCCTGGAAAAGTACTACCTTTCCATTTTTTACGGGATTGAATTCACTGTGGGAGTCCTCGGGAATACCGCTGTTGTTTTTGGCTACCTCTTCTGTCTGAAGAATTGGAACAGCAGTAACATCTATCTCTTTAACCTCTCCGTCTCTGACTTAGCTTTTTTATGTACCCTTCCCATACTGATGAGTAGATATGCCAACAGAAACTGGATCTACGGAGATGTGTTGTGCATAAGCAACCGATACGTGCTTCATGCCAACCTCTACACCAGCATTCTTTTCCTCACTTTTATCAGCATAGATCGATACATGCTCTTAAAGTATCCTTTCCGGGAACACCTTCTGCAAAAGAAAGAGTTTGCTATTTTAATCTCTTTGGCCATTTGGGTTTTAGTAACCTTAGAGCTACTGCCCGTAGTTCCTCTTATGAACTCTGTTATAACTGGCAGCGACACTACCTGTAATGATTTTGCAAGTTCTGGGGACCCCAAATACAGCCTCATTTATAGCATATGTCTAACCGTGTTGGGATTCCTCATTCCTCTTTTTGTGATGTGCTTCTTTTATTACAAGATTGCTGTCTTCCTAAAGCAGAGGAACAGGCAGATTGTTACTGCAGTGCCCCTTGAAAAGCCTCTCAACTTAGTCATCACAGCAGTGGTGATCTTCTCTGTGCTTTTCACACCCTACCACATCATGCGGAACGTGAGGATCGCTTCCCGCCTGGGCAGCTGGAAGCAGTCCCAGTGCACTCAGGTCTTCATCAGGTCCCTGTACATTGTGACTCGGCCTTTGGCCTTTCTGAACAGCGTCATCAACCCTGTCTTCTACTTTCTTATGGGAGATCACTTCAGGGAGATGTTGGTGAATAAACTGCAGTACCACTTCAAATCCCTTCCATCCTTCAGATGAGCCTGTGAACTCACATTTTTATTCAGGGAAAAGGGGGATGCTTATGAAACAGTTGTTTAAGAAATGCCACTCTAAGCCTGTTAGAATTTGCTTTAATCTTTAAACACGAATTAGAGAGTGTCAGAGATCTGACCCTGATTTATGACAAGTTGTACTCAGAGTATGTGAAACGAATGGGATGAGGAGAATGTATTGGTTTCTTCACCGAAGAACTGAAAGGAGTTGAAGTAGCATTACTTAACATTTGGTCTGTAAGTGCTAGGTTTTATAAGACCTTCTCAATCGTGCAAAAGGAATAGAAGATAGTAGCAAATTATCTGCATTTAATCAGTGGTTAGATTGTAAAAATAAAATTATTTTGACAGCATTCTTGATGTTATTCTTACTCATATGATCCTAAAACTTTATGTGAGAATTGAATAGCAGAAGATGAAACACATGCTGGTAAATATGATTTTTAGAGGTTGTGCTCTTGAGCAAATTTAAAATAAACAGTAACAATGAGTGAGAAAGTAATATAATGAGTTCAAGGATACCTGTGTGATATTTGTTTATATCATGAATTGGATCATGAATTGGAGTCAACTTGTAATTCATCAGTCTTTTTTTGTTGCTTGGTTTATAGTGGAAATAATCTTAATTTAAGTTAAAAAGAACCTAAAGAGATAATTCAACAAAGGGAGACAACACATTTGAGTTTATCTGTCAGAGAATTTATGTGTAAATGATTTTATTAAAAAATTAGAGAGATATACCAAGAAGATTTGCAAAAATTTTGGAGTTATAGAACACAAAATACCCATCAGGAAACCCAAAGCAAAACAAAACGAAAGTGAATACATTGTTTTTCTGATGGTTTTTCCATCTGGCATTTTATTATCACAATTTGACCATCAGTGCATGGAAATATATTAAAGTTCATTAGCCTTAGTGTCCTTGATTAAATAGTGAACTTTAAAATATATTAAAATCATAAAACCAATGATAATAGATTCACTGGGTTAGTTTTCACTTTTTTTTTTTTAAGACAGAGTCTCACTCTGTTGCCTGGGCTAGAGTGCCATGGCGTCAGCCTAGCTCACAGCAACCTCAAACTCCTGGGCTCAAGCGATCCTCCTGCCTCAGCCTCCAGAGTAGCTGGGACTACAGGCACATGCCACCGTGCCCAGCTAATTATTTTATATGTTTTTAGTTGTCCAGCTAATTTCTTTCTATTTTTAGTAGAGACGGGGTCTCACTCTTGCTCAAGCTGGTCTCAAACTCCTGAGCTCAAACGATCCACCTGCCTCTGCCTCCCGGAGTGCTAGGACTACACTAGCACTACACTCACAAGTATGAGCCATCGTGCCTGGCCAGTTTTCACTTTTGGAAGGGAAAGTCACAATTTTCTTCAACCTCTTCCCCATTTTTTTTGTAAGTGCTGGAATAATTTACAAGGAAGGCTTTATCCTAGAGAGAGTAACTCACATCTGGAGTAAGCCTAGTTTGCATGAAACATTACATTAGACCATTGGAGGAAATGTTCTAAACAAAACACCTTTTACGAAATTATTAAAATACAAGAGACATTTTCAATCTAGATTATCCCAGAAAGGTCTGTGAGTCCCACCATTCCATGCCACAAAACAAATGTAATAGAAAAAGTGGATATTGCATTAGCTCTTTAAAGTCAAGTAAGTATCACATAATAATTCACTGATATGCAACAAAATGTGTCCGTGGCCACATGTCTATGTTCCTTTGCTTGGTGTCATTAGCAGTAAGGAGTGGGTAATGTGAAGGATAAAATAAGCATTACGAATACAGAGACATAAAATTCCATTGTCTTTCCTGTTCTGAGATACTATGGGGGTATTATTTAGATATTCCAAACTCCCAAAATATGCCCAGTTACTATCACTAGACTCTAAGCAACTGAAATATTATAAGAAGGTATTGCTCACAAAGGATTTCTTTTCTTACATAGTGCTAGGCTTTAAGATATTTTCTATTATGCCTCACCTTTATTATCAATATTTTTAAAATTTCAATATAATTTTATAACTGCCTAATAATAAACTGAAAACAGAACTTCTGAATTTTCATATCAGAAAGAGCCATAGAAAGGGCTTTAGGAAGAAAGTATTTTCTACTACAAATGTAGCAGTGTACAATTTAACTTTAATTTGTATTTTATGAGTGAGTCTTAATTTGTAAAGATGAAATTAAATTTGGTGCCTCACCCCCATTCCAAGAAGTGGCAGGGGTAGACTTTCTAATAGTGTGATGAAATATTTTGTCAAACCATAAACTCTTAAACAGGTCTTGTAACTAAAAGGTAAAGAAATTTTATAGCACATTTCTTAATTCTTTTCTTGCTCAAATCTCTCATGTGGTGACTTAATCCTTAACAAACTAAAGGGGACTACACTAAAATTATAAGAGCTATTTCATTTGCCTTTTGTACTAGGTAATTGTAAGAATCACAAACAATAAACAGTGGAAATCCTTGTTGGTTTGTGGTTTTTAAAGGAAACAATCATTGGGCCTTTGTATCTTGTCTTTTAATTGGTTCCCTAGTGTCTTCACAATGATGTCTAAACTCTTTAATCAAGCATCTGCAATCTGAACCCACCTGCTCCTTTTATGTTATCTCCTTTCACTGTTGTCACAAATCCTATTCTACAGCTGAAGATCACAGCTTCATTTCATTATATTCAGAACTTTCTTCACTTTGTACACCTGGATGCTCAGATCTGTTCCATCAGTCATATAAAAATTCTAAGCACCTATTAACGTCCATCTCATCTGTCACTCCTTCTTAAAACTTTCCTTTATATTCTCTTCTCTCCAAATCTGAAAGTAAAGCTTTCTACCAATGGTGTTTCAGACTATTTTTTACTGCTATTTTTATGAAATGCATTATTTTTGACCATATTCCACGGTTGTTTAGATTCAAGTCACACTCCAAGGTCTGTGAGTTGAAAACTATACTTAATTTTTTATTGTCTTCATAGCACCTAATAAGGTGCTTTTTAAATTATTGTTTATTATGAATGAATGCCTTATAAAACAAAGTTGAATTCAATGCTCCTTTTGCGTGTACATAATCACACTGTTTTCTGTCATTACTACTTTAATAAGTAACATTATTTTATGTAAAGAATAGAGTGTATATACACAAGTACATGTGCCAGTTTCTATTGTACTGTTTCTTATATTTTCTCTATACTTTTGGGAATGGCTTTAATGAATGCTCGAAATCCATATCTGCTAGTTCCAAATCTGGGTCGTTTTGGGGGTTGGTTGATTTACTTTTCTCCTAAGTATGGGTCACAATTTCCTGTTTCTCCATATGTCTAGTAAATTTTGATTGTATTCCAAACTATGAATAATATATTGTAGAGACTCTGGATTCTCTTATGTTCCACTGAAGAGTATCAATATTTTGCTTCATGATTGAACTAAAACTCTAAACTCTTAAATCTCAGTTCAATTATTTTACCTTTCATTGAGCTGCTTGTAATCTACCCATCCCATCCCCTGTAGTCCACAGGATTAGCTAGAGAGTTGAATAGAATTTACACGTAAGATATTGGGTGCCCTTTCTGTGGCTGTCTCTTTTCCAATATATTCTCCCTTCACTTTCTAGCTGCTGAGTTCACCCTGAACTTGTCCTTTGTTTTGTTATGCCAAATAGACCACATATTACTTTCTGGATTTTAGCAACTCTCTGTAGCCTGACAAGGAGCTGCACCCAGGCTAAAAGGTATTTAAAAAAATAAATGTGCCTGTCACTCAGTGCCTTTTACTTCTTCTGAGTATTGGCCCTCTTCCTGTGTCTGCCATCTTCTTTTATTCTTCAGAGTCTTCACATAGCTGTGGGTTTTTTTTTTATGTTGGTAGAGTTTAAAGATGTTATTTGCAGGAAATGTGGTTTAATAGGACTTACTAAGCCACTACCAGAAAGAGAAGCTCTTTCCCCCTTAGAAGTAAATAAGCTTCACTGGATAATGTAACTCTATATCCTATACTAGTTTAAATTTTCACTCAGAGTTTCTCAAAATCTTAAGGGCTTACTTCATCTTGTCCCTCTTTCATCTCTAGTTTCTGCATTTATTCATGCTGTTCCCCTTTTCCCTTGTACCAGTTTTGATTTTAAACCCAGCCTCTGCAATGATTTTCCAAAAAAAAAGGCAGTTAAGAAAAACACAATAATTTTACTGAAGACAAACATCATTCACTGTACATGGTCCTGCCTTGATGGCTCTCACCTCTTCCTCAGCCTAGGTCTCCACTTCTTGCCTCAAGAAGCTTAATCTATCCTCACTTTAAGACCATAATATCAAACATATTTGCTTAGCCCAGTGATCTTATCAGGGACTTTTTTTTTTCAAGAAATGTAGAGGTGTCTTGGC